CTCTCTCTCTCTCTCTCTCTCTCTCTCTCTCTCTCTCTCTCTCAAAAATAAATAAACATTAAGGAAGAAAACTCCAGCAGCAGATGGATTGGAACTAGGAGAGACTAGAATTAGAGAGACCAAAAGCTATTGAAGTTCAGCTATGTGGCGATAACTACTTTAAAACTAGATACATTCATTCCTTGAATGAGGACTTTCGCTAGGTCCTATGTTAGGTAGCAGAGATGGAACAGTATCTAAGACAGACATAGTTCCACGGATCACACTCTGTTAATAGACGCACCAGTAAATAACAATTACAGTGGTGTGGTAAGTGCTTTGGGATGGGGCACAGTGTGTACAGAGTCTTAGATGAGCCAAAAGAAGAAGGATTTAAGCCACACTTGGTTGGTTGGTAAAAGCTTATTTTAAGAAGGATTTAGAAGGTGAGACCTGAAGGATGGATGAGGAGTCACCTGGGTAAGGGGGGTGAAGGGGGGAGGCCAGAAGATGATCAAGAACATAGTGCATTCAGGGAGGGGTCCATGGGATCTTGCATAGTCTTGTGGGCCAAGAGCAATGGAAGCCATTGAAGTGTTTTAAGCACGAGAGTGACATTCAAGTTTGTATTTATAAAATTCACTAGAGTCAAAATTAGAATGGGTAGAAATAAGGATCCTTGGTAGAAATAGAGATGAATTTGAAGGCAAATAATGTTGACCTTGTACTATAAGATCTTCCAGATAGGAGTATCATGGCAATTAAATGGCCGCTTTTAGTTGCTCTATCAAGTCAGATCCAGAGTAGTTTGACAAATTTGATAGCAGAGACAAGATACAGAAGCTTTGGCAGAGCTAAATGAGCAGAGGATAGTGAGACAACAGCAGGAAGCTGCTACCGCCTCTGGGGGTGGAGGTGGGAGCCCAGGTCTTGGGGCCACCTGCAGAAGCTAGAACCACAGAAGAGTCACGGCCACTGCTGCCAGTGCCAGAAGGGTTCAGGGGAGTAATACCCTCACTTCTCTGTCCTCCTCCCTTCCAGTCTTCCACCTGTGCCCCCCTTTGGCCAAACCTAACCAAAAGCCAGTAGGCAGGGGACCTGGGAAACATACTTTATAAGAGGAGCTCCTGTTAAGGTAGCTCAGTCGGCTAAGTGTCTGACTTTGGCGCACGTCGTGATCTCGCGGTTTGTGAGTTCAAGCCCCGCATCAGGCTCTGTGCTGACAGCTCCCTCTGTCTCTGGCCCTCCCCCCTTCATGCTCTGTCTCTCTCTCTCAAAAATAAATAAGCATTAAAAAAAAAAAAAAAAGCAGCTCCTGTTACACAGAGTAGAGCAGCAGAAAGGTGAAAAGTGGATCTGAGAGCACAGGTGCAAATGAAGAGCATGTATTCTACCCAGACATTGTATTCCTAGTGCAGTAAAGGCTCTCAGAGTTCCTGAACCCTCATACACCCTAAGAAAATCTATGCACAAGTTCAAGAACAGTTTAGGATAGTCAGGTCTTAGAGGGCCTTCTTACACTCATTTCTTTCAAGTCATAGTGTCACTTCACTTTGAGGTCATTCCTCATGGAATGGAATCTATGCTGATGGAATCTACAGTGGAATCTATGCTGATGGGCCAAAGTTATAACTTTGCAGGAAAAAGTTCAAGTTCTGCACATATAAATTGCCCTTACCCCCCCTTAAAAAAATTTTTTTTTATTGTTTATTCATTTTCAAGAGAGAGCGTGAGTGGGGCAGGGGCAGAGAGAGAGGGAGACACAGAATCCAAAGCAGGCTCCAGGGTCTGAGCTGTCAGCACAGAGCCTGACGCAGGGCTCAAACTCATGGACTGCAAGATCATGACCTGAGCTGAAGTAGGACACTTAGACACCCCTGTCCCTCCCCCTTTTGGGCCTCTTGTAGACCAGGACCATCTACTGCAGAGGGGAGTAAGCAAGAGAGGAGCAGGGACCCAGTGAAGTCCCTCTTTCCTGGAAAAACCAAGTTTGTGTTTCATGAAAGTGTATGAAGGGAGAGGGTCATAGAATGGGGGAGGGTGTTGCTTTTGGTCATCTTTGAAAAGAATAGGTCTGTTAGCTTTTTCTACAAAGGCTCTTACCTGCTTAGGACTGCGGTGTTTCTAATTGGACCTAAGCACAGGGCATATATATAATTTGGGGTTTCCCAAGAGTACATTCGTCTAGAAGCAATCTGTCTGCAAGACAAGGATATGTGTACCTAAGGATTTCCTCAAAATTATGAAAACTGGATTTTATTTGTTCCTGGTTTTTCTTTTCTTGACAGGATAGTGATGTTGTGGCCCCACTTATAACACCTCGAAAAGAGGAGTGGAAGAACCCGGATTCAGCCCAGAGCCCAGATCACTTACAAAAAGTGTCCAAATTTAAAACCCGGCTTTTTCCAGATGACTCTGTGTGAATGTTTGCAACCGATAGTTTACATAAAGTCCTCTTCCCCATCCCCCAACAGTATTAGCTAATTTAGGAAATTCAGTCATGAACTCTACAAATTTGTGACAACGAGTGCATTTTACATTTTGAATGTACACCCATGCTGAAGCTAAGTAATTTTTATCCGAAGAAACAAAAAGGTGTTAGACAGCTCTGGCTGTACATGCTATATGGAAAGCATGACCTTGCCTATTTTAACATTAACTAAAGCCTCTCTTTGTAGTCTATTCTTTTAGAATAATATTTTTTTTATGTACTCTGAACTCTTATGACATAATGATTGTTTTTTGGGTTTTTTTTTAAGTTTGGAAATGAGATAAAGTGCACATTGAAGTATGAAGTTGGGATTGTCATAAACAGCCATGGTTAAGAACAAAACATAAAATCCTAGCCCCTTGAGGAGGTACCCATCACCTTGAATTTGAGGAAAATTCTTCTTAAGTGATCTAAATATTAGTGAAACACCTTCCCTCACCCTTTTAGCCAGGTTGGACTAGACAGTAGATGAGGGTGACGAGTGAGTTCCACCTCTTGGGTGAGAGTCCTGATTAATTTATTAGAAATATCTGAGGGCTCTGGCCCCCTCTGAAATGGGACATAAGACTGCCTCTCAGGAGACCCCTACCCCCAGTGGCAGAGGGATTCCCCCAAACCAGGCTGTTCTCTGGGTCAGTTGCATGCAGCTCCAGACCCGGGCGGTTTCTTCGTCCTGATTACTCACTACCGATGTCCCGAGGTCTTTTTCACGATCACTGCTCAGCCTGGAGAAGGCTCCCCTCCGGCCTTCTCTCTGAATTTCCCTTGTGAGCTGATCAAAGGTTGTCACAGGAGCCTTTCTGAGGGCTACTCAGAGCTGGGACTTTGTTGTTGCTGGCTCAATGTGCATGTTACGAATTTCAGAGCAAAGACTGAGCTGCTTGGGATGAGATGAGTGATTATCCCCAGAATTCCAGGTCCCCCTTTGTAGCCCAGTAGACCCCATGCTCGTTCTTAACCTCCTGTGCACCACTGTGGTTGAGCGAGTCTGTGCAGAGGGCACCCATCCCCACCTCCATATACACACAATTGCCAGTTCTGCAGAAATTCACCAGGAGTAAAATCTGGAGTTAGAGCCAATGCTGGTGGTAGCCAGAGGGTCCTGTAGATGCAGGGCAGTGGGGAATGGGAGTCAAAGTCCTTAACTTTGCTATAGTTATAAAAGTCCTTATCTTATGCTATAGACACTCCCTTACAAAAGCCTCCATGGCAGCCTGGGATTGGGGGGCCAGCCCTGGCTCCGGGCAAGAGTAAGTGGGAGGAAAGGAGGAACTCAGACCACAGGCCGGTACATTATCCACAGTCTTAGAGTGCTGTAACCTTCCACTCTGTAACCAGGTTCTGTTCTGTTGACCCTAGGGTGAAAAGTATTAGGAATGTCTGCCATTCTGTATTACCACCATCACCCTCCTCCACCCCCCAGCAGATGATCAAGAGTTGACCCTCATTCATAGGAGAATAATTAAAACCCTTCCCAGCTCCTCCACCATAGTGCTGTGTAGGTGGGGATATGCAGACATGTGGGCTCCCAGAAGCACAAGTGAAATCAGCCCTGGTACTGGGTCACATCTGTTTTGGCCAAGGTACCCCTAAAACATTCAGTGGGGGAGAACTATAGGGCTCAGACTTAGTGTATCCAGATCCAAGGTCAAGAATGTAATGTTTTTCTGCTAAGATTGTTTTATTTCTGCAACTCTTACCTTTAAATCATTGTGGTTTACTCTGGAATTTTTTTAGTTTCAATATTGTATCATTTTGCTGAGAAATAACTTGAATCTATTTTGTTTGCATCCTTTACATTATAAGTCCGCTGCACTTTATGCTCTTTGCAACTGTTTTAATTATCAGAACCATGTGCCATTTACAAGGTTAAATTTTTCTTAAGAAGCGCCTTCACTATTTGTATAAAAACTGAGGTTTTAACAACTTAACCTCTAGAGTTACTGAACTTTTGTCACCTTGAGAATGTTAAGTAAGAACTGCAAGTTTAAATGACTGGTTACTTCATTTGGGTGAGGGAAACAGATGCAATAAAGCTTCATGAATGTATCTTCATCTTGAAACCAAAGGTGTTTTCCTTCATGACATTCTCTTATGTGCCCAGTTTGGACCCTATTGTACAAAGGAAATGTGTCTAGGAATCTACCCAAATGTTTCAACACTGTGTTGGGTTTGCAAGAGAGGGGATGATATTTAACAGGGCTTATGTCATCTGGTTTTCTGACAGGAGGAAGAAATATGGATGTTTCTTCTTTTTTTTTTTTTTTTTTTTTAATCTTTATTTTTGAGAGAGACAGAGTGCGAGTGGGGGAGGGGCAGAGAGAGACGGAGACACAGAATCCAAAGCAGGCTCCAGCCTCTGAGCTGTTAGCACAGAGCCAGAAGCAAGGCTCAAACCCACAAACGGTGAGACTGTGACCTGAGCTGAAGTCGGACATTTAACCAGCTGAGCCACCCAGGTGCCTCTGGATGTTTCTTCATTTACTGAGCTCTTGGGACAGGAAACGTATCTTTCCTCCTTTTTCACCTGCCCCAGAGATTCAACTTCTTTATCCACATAGGCATATTGTTCATTTGCTGCTTTCCCATCTTCCTCATGAAATTAGAGACTTGCAAGCACCTGGCACACTGACGGCAGGCAGAAAGCCCTCAATGTTCTAGAAAAAGGAACATGCTACTGGAGTCTTTCTTAGTTTCACCAGTTGAGCCCAGGTGTCTGTGGTTTGACAATATAAGTTAAAATAATTTGTAAAGCATACAGAATAGAATCCCATTTTTGTAAGATGTATATATCCATTGCCTAGAATGTTCGTGATTTGGGGGGTGGTTGAATTGTAGGCAGTTTTAATTAAAAAAAATTTTTTTTAATGTTTGTTTATTTTTGAAAGAGAGAGCAAGACAGAGTGTGAGTAGGGGAGGGGCAGAGAATCTGAAGCAGGCTCCAGGCTCTGAGCCTCCGGACTGTTGGCATAGAGCCCGATTCGGGGCTCAAACTCATGAAACTATGAGATCATGACCTGAGCTGAAGTCGACGCTTAACTGGCTGAGCTACCCAGGCGCCCTAGGCAGTTTTAACTTTTTAAATGTCTTCTGGTTTTTCTACAATAAACATGTATTAATTGTATAATCTCTAAAAAGAAATTTCAGGGGGCACCTGGGTGGCTCAGTCGGTGGAACATGCAACTCTTGATCTCGGGGTTGTGAGTTTGAACCCTGTGATGGGCATGGAGCCTACCTAATAAATACATAAAAAGAAATTTCATGAGGGACTTTGTGCTGCTCAGATGAGATGTGAGTGCATTTCACTCTTTCAGAGTCACATCCCCAGGAGAATATTGCTTGTTTCCATGACTGTCTTGGGTCCCCAGACCACAGGGAGGTTTGCTTATAACCACAGTCATCCAGGCTTCAGAGAAAATGGGCAGCCCTCTATAAGGAGGGTCTAGATGGCATTCATGAGCAAGTGTGAGCACTGGTTGCTTCAGGAAGCTTCCCACGATGGGGGCATCCGCTCAGGACCCAGGCCTCCAGTTCCTTGATGCAGAACTGCTCTCGCCGGGCCAACACCTCATTGTTGAAGGTTGCACAGGGGTGGCTTCCGCCGTGATACAAGTCTCCATCCAACCACAGTCCAAACTGGCCACTAAAAAGAAGAGGAAAATCTTGGCATGGCTCACTCCTGGAGGTTGACCTTCCAGATCCTCACCATCAGCCTTTGGCCACACCATGACCGCAGCTCTGTTTTGACTATCTCATCTTCCCTTAAGCCGATTTATCCAGAGTTGTTGGGAACTCCACATGTTGTTCCCCATAGGGCTTAGAGCATTTTTTTTTTTTTTACAGTTAAGTTATTTTAATAAACATACACAGTGGTATAACCATCGCCACAGTCCGGGTTTAGAACATGTGGAACATTTTAAAGATGGTAATGCTTAACCAAAGGAGTGAATCTTAAGGCATGGACTCAACCCCCAAAACACATCAGAAAGCATTCGTTCTGATCCCCTCATTTGACAGCAAACCAGGCTGGGGCTGGAAAGTGGGCTACCGATTGCAAATCAGCAATGGCTGCTGTGTTCTTCTCCAAACTGGCTTCGGGGGTGGGGGGGTGGGGCTCTTCAGGCAGTTGGGAGAGCAAAGAATTTGCTACTAATCCGACAATGCTCTCATCTTTGCCCCCAGGGTAAGATTTTAGTCTGCCTGAATGTGGAGTTCTCACCAGGGGTAAAACTAACCTCTTCTTTCTAATCTACTCATCCCCCTCAGCATGCACGCTCGCACGCTGGGTTCCTGGGCAGAGGCCTGCCTTCCCCCGATGAGTTATGTTCCCTGAGATTATGGGGCTGACAGGCACATGTAAGGCTCACCGATCCCTGGACTCCAGCCTCATCTGAACATGCGGAATGCTGTTCCCCAAATCACATACATTCAGACTAGGCTGTCACCGACTATAAACACATGCCATTCTTTCCTCTCGGTGTTTACTTAAAGTAGGTTTGACGGGTTTGGCTGGGAGACTGGGCAGCACCTGGGAAGTGTTGAAGGGAGAGGCCTGGAAGTTAACCACCAGCCTCATTTTGTCTGGGGCAGCCTTGCCCAGTATTTCCTTCCGGATGGGAGAGGGACCAGAACACAGACTACCCCCAGACTCCAGAGTCGGGGAAGACTGAGACACGCACCTGCCACTGCCCATCATCAGTGAATCCAAGTCTCCTTTCACAAAGAAAGAATTCCTTCCTGTCCACTTGAAGACCTGGGGTGACAGGAAATGCTAGATTACTGGAAGAGTCCTGCCCTTGCAGTTTGACTCCACACCACTGGGGGGCAGTCGTTCCATCGTGGACGGAACAGAACATCCAGGCCCAAGCCCCAGCTAAACAATAGGAAGTACCCCTGGCCCCTAGACTCTTGAGATTTCTTTACATTTTTCCCCAAGGGGGCTCACCTCCTTTTGCCTTCCGGTCTGAATTCCCACAACCCAAAGCCCGTCTGTTCTAGGGCAGACCAGAACTCTCTGAAGCATCCTATTTCCAAATGGAGAGAGGAGGGGGAAGGTCCAGGTCAGGAGTTGGGCCCTGATCCTGCCATCCACGGCTCATCTCTCACTGCAGCCTTCCCTGTGCTGCCTCACACTCCCGTTCCTCGGCAAGTCTTGTGGGCCCCACCCCAAAGAGACACCCAGACTACTCCCATTTCTGTGCTGTCCTTCTCCACTCTTGCCCACCCAATCCACACCACAGTCACTCCTCACTCACTCACAGCCTCCTAAAGCATCCCTGCTTCCACAGTCACCCGCCCACAGCCCATCTTCACACAGAAATGTGATCGGATAGTATTCCTCTGCCTGAAGCCTCCAAGGCCTGCCCATTGCAATGGGAATAAAATCCAACTCCTGGCTAGAGCTGACAGCCCAGGTTTCAGCAGGATATCCTTTCAGCAGGATAGCAGATCCCTGCTTTCCTCTCTGACCTCTTCTCCCCCTTATTGACCACACTTCAGCTACCCTTGCCTTGCTGTCCCTGGGATACCCAGAGCTATTCCTGCTTTACGACCTTCACACTTGCTGACCCCTCTACTGAGAATGCTCTTCCCCCAGATCCTTAATTGGCCCACTTCTCATCTTTCAGACCAAATGTCATCCCAGAGAAGTTTCCTGGATCACCCTGTCTAAAGTAGCCTTTCCTCCCACACCCTGTGTCCTTTTCCTCAGCATTGACCACCCTTTGAGGTGACCCTCTCCATATGCCAATGTCCCAATGCCTGCCCCACTAACATGTAAGCTCTGTGAGGGCTGTCTTGATTCCCAGCAGTATTCCCAAGACATGACATAGATATCTCTTGAATGAATGAATTATTCAAGAGTCAATTTGGCTAATAAAAATATTTTTAGAGGGCCACAAAGGTATAGCATATTATGGCCTGAAATTAGTTGTTCAAAATAGTCTATGAGCAACCAAAGGGTTTTTAGCAAGAAAATAGATTAATAAAAATAAGTGTGGGCTCAGAAGAGGTGAGATAATATTAACAAGTGACCATGAGAAGACAGAACCATTCAATTCCTCCTCTACTTTCATCGAAGAATGTGACCTTCAGACTTGAAGGAGTAAGATAAACATTGGTACAGAAGAAACTAAGACCATGTTCATGGGCTGTTTGGAATCACCATCAAGGAGCCACTGGGAATTCATAAAGAACACAAGAGGTGCCAAACAACCAAAGGTAGGTAAAGATTACCCAGGTTTTAAAAAAACAGGATTCCATGGCAGGAGACTGTGAAGACAGCCCCTGTAAAAAAAAATTCATTTCATTCAACAAAATTTTTAAAGCATTTAGTACCAGGCACTGTTTTATGTTCTGGGTAAAATGGTGACTATAATAGACAGAATTTCTTGCCCTCACGGGACTCCCATTCTAGCAGGCAGGGGCAGGTAACTAAGTAAAATATGCTAGGTGGTGACAAATGCTAAGGATAAAAAAGTAGATAAGGACAAAAAAGGGTTTCCAAGGAATAGAATGTTGTAAATTTAAATTAGTTGGTCACAGAGGGCCTCTCTGTGATAGTGACATTTGAGCAGAATCCTAAAGGAGGTGAGAGCTGAGCCATGTGGTGATCCAGTAGAAGGCAAGCTAGGCAGAACAGCATGTGCAAAGGCCCTGAGGTGGGAGCAGGCCTGCATGTTTAAGGACCAGCTCAGAGCTCATTGTGGCTAGAGCAGAGTGAGGGAAAAGAAAAACAGCAAGAAACAACATAAGAGAGAGGCCAGAAAATGTAGGACTTACAGGTTATTATAAAGACTTCAGCTTTTCTCCAAGAAAGGAAGCCACTGGCAGGTTGAAGCCAAAGAGTGAGATGCTCTGACTTACCTTTTTAAAAGGAACACTCTAGGTATTGTGATGACTGAGGTGGAAGCAGAGAGACCTGTGAGGAGGCTATAGCAGGAACAAGGACAAGTAATGATGGTGGCTTGAACCAGGTGACAGCAAAGGACATGGTGAGAAGTGGTGGGTTCTGAATACAGACAGAGAAGGCAGAGCCATCAGGATTCACTGACAGCTCAGACGTAGGATGTGACAGAGAGGAGTCAAGGATTCAAAAATTTTTGGTCTCAGTAGCAGAAAACATGGAGGTGCCATTAACTTCACTGGGGAAGCTGGCAGGACGAGTCGATTTTAGCGGGAAAGTCAGGAGCTCGGTTTTGGACAGGTGAGGCTCGCAATGCCATGTCGGAGGTCCAAGCAGAAATGCTGGGTACTAGTTGGATATATGTCAGTTTGGAGTCCAGGGGCAGAAGCCATCAGTACGTGGATGGCATGGAAAGCAGTGAGAATGGACGAGACGTTGAAAGAAACAAGGGTAGACAAGAGTCAAGAACCAAAAACTGAGTTCTGGGCCCCTGTGATGTTAAAAGGTTTGGGAGAGGAGGAGCCAGCAAAGGATTCTGACAAGGAGTTATCAGTGCAACAGGAGGAAAATCCTAGAACTTTAGAATTCTAGCATGTGAATACAGGAAGGCAAGTAGTAATTAGAATCCAGCATGGGTTTACTGTGAACTGCAGACCCCTTTCCTGTTTCCTGGAAAGAGTACCAGGCTGGCTGATAGAGGCAATGCAATAGATAGAGTGTGTTTTGCCTTTAGCAAGGAGTCCAGAGCTCCTCGTGACCTACTTGTCATGTGATCAAGTAATCGCTGAGTATATGTGTAGGTTCTCGGTCCATTCATGGGAGGAGAGATCTCTAACAGCAAACAAAAACACTTGGAACTGGTTCTTTATCCACTGAACAAATATTTCATGAGGGCATGCTATGCCAACGCAGAGGGCTATGCCCTCCCTCACACTCTGACCCCCTACCCATTCGCCTGTTGGGTTCCTAAATGGGCATTGCCTTCTTTCCAATTACTGTGCCTTTGCACGTGCTCCAAGAAGACTTTTCCCTATGCCCTCCATCACCTGGTGATCTTCTGTTTGTCCATCAAGACGCGATGCAAGAAGCTCCTCCTCTGGGAAGTCTCCTTTGATCTCCCCACCTCCACTTCATCCATGTGCTTCTCCTTGGGGTGTCTTCCACAGCACTGGCCACTCTAGATTGTACTCATCTCTCCTCTGCAAGCCTGAGAGCATCTCAGGGCAGAGAACTTCGGACATTTAGAGAGGTAGTGTAGTGCTGTGGCTGAGTTTCAAGCTCCGGGGCCTGTTCCTGCATCGCATCCTCACTACCGACTGGCTGTGTGAGGTTGAGCAAGTGACTCAACCTCTCTGTGCCTCAGTTTCCTCAACTGCAAGATGGTGCTGATAATAGTATGTACCTCATAGGAATGTTGTCAATCGAATGCACGAATTTGTGAAATGAGATTAGAAACTAATCTGGGCTGACAGCTCAGAGCCTGGAGCCTGCTTCGGATTCTGTGTCTCCTTTTCTCTCTGCCTCTCCGCCACTCGCACTCTGTTTCTCTCTCTCTCTCTCTCAAAAATAAATGAACGTTAAAAAAAAAATTTTTTTTTTAAGGTAGTGTCGTCTTTCATGCCGGGCATGCAGTGCTAAGTAGTTTTGTTCACTAAATAGCCCAGAGATGGAAAAGCTTTAGATGGGAGGGGTTGGGGACAATTCCCCTTCCTCCTTCAAAAGCCCTGCTCTCTGGCAGCAAGTGCCATATGACGACACCAGTCATCTTGTCTCTGCCGGTCACCCACCTCCTAGTCACCAGTCACCATTAATTAGAGGCATGAGCTCTGGCTCACCATCCTCTCCTCTTCCTAATTTCTGCCTTTGTCTTTGGTGAACTTTGCCATCCACACGGACCCATCCAATGGCTGCCCTCAGCTCCTCTCCTCTTCCTCTCAAGGGCTTTCCTTATACCCACCTCAGCCACTGTCCCTTACGGTCACAGCCAGGAACCTTACCAGTCTGTTTCCAATGTCCCTCGCTCTGTGTCTTATATTCCAACACACTGTCCCACTTGTGTCATTGCCCCAAGTCTCTGACCTCAAGGCCACTTCTCATCTGTTGTTTTCATCTTTGCCTCATTGTCCTTCAGCCTCCCTGGCTTCCCTTCCCCCACCGATCCTGTAGGTTCTGTGGTCCATTTTGTATTTTCACTCCCTTCAACTTCTGCTTCCCTCTCTCCCTCCGTCAAACCAGCTTGGCCAAAGTCCCATCCTGGATGAGCCCTCCCAAGGGCTCTGTCCACGCCTCAACCCGAGGACCGGAATGCAGCTGGAGGAAAACACGTGCCCAAGTGACCGGCTTGCCTTTACACTGACACTCCCCACCTCCAGTTAATGCTACGTAGCTGTCCTTATGCTTGTCTGGTTCTCTCTCACAGGCCTCCCTCTCCACTCCTGTGATGACAACTTGATACTTTCTCTCTGCTCAACCTTCACACTTCTCCATCCTCACTCTTAGCTGATGACCTCACCCCACACTTCATAAGAAGACTGAAGTCATCGGATGTGTCTGTCTTCGTCTTCCTACCTGTACACCCACAGATCTACCTGCACTTGGACCCATCTTGTCTTTGCAGCCTGCATCTGGTGAGCAACACGCCTCTTCCTCTCTGAGCCAGTCCGTGGCTGCCAGGGATCTACTGAGCCCTTTTAAGAGATGAAATTGGGCAACGCACTGCCCACCACTGCCTTCTGGGAAAGATAGATGGATACCAGGCATTCCAGCATAGGGAACGGATCTGGGATCTGTCCAGTAGGACCCCAGGATCTTTGTCATAAGTCCTCCTTCCCCCCTCTCTAGAAGGTTGGGAATATTACCTTCAGCTGTGGGGAGAAGGAGAAGAGGAATGTCTCTCCAGTACCATAGAAGCCTTTGCTGAGTCGAAGAGCCGAGGAGGAGAAGGCCCCAAACATCTGGAAAGCAGAAGAGCTTGAAGTTGCAGCTGGAAGGGAGTGGAGGTCCTCTGGCAACCCCGCTCTCCAGGCTTGGTAATATAGGCTCATCCTAGTAGGGCCCCTGGGGAGCCTGGGACAGAGCTGGGGGATGGAGAGGGCCCCAGAGCCCATCAGTGTGTCCCTTCCCTTAACACTCCCCAAGGAAGAGCCCTTGCTGGTGTCCTCCTCCTTTTTCTTAAATGTACTTATTTTGTATAAGTAATCCTTGTAGAAAAGTATTAGAAGTTATAGACAAGCAGAAAGAAAAAATGAAGCCATCCCAAATCCCCCTCTGCTCCCCAAGATAACTATTCTTAACATTTTTGTGCATTTCCTCCCAGCATCTGTTTAATACCAGTGTGCGTATTCTTATACAGAAAACCAGATCCTATAGTACATCTGTTTTGTTTTGTTTTTTTTAAGTTTTATTTATTTAGGTAATTTCTACACCCAACGTGGGATGTGAACTCATGGCCCTGATATCAAGAGTCACATGCTCTTTCAAATGAGCCAACCGGGCACCCTGTACATTGTTTTGTAAGCTGCCTCCCCCCTTCACTTTTCTTCATAAAAGTCCAAACATCCAAAAAAAGTAAAAGTCCGGCACAGGATACCCTCCATGAGGGTTTAAAACTGTAAATGTGTTTGCCATATTTGCTTCCTCTCTCCTTATATTTTTTTTGGTGTCCTGTTTGAAATTGTAGGTATTATAACCTTTTACCCCTAAATAGTTCAGCTCCAAGAATGGGGACCTTCTCACGTATAACCACAATACTATCATCTCACCTAATAAAATTAACAGCAATTTCATAATATTATCTAGTATCCAGTTCATAATACATTTTCTCCACTGGCCCAAGAGTGCCTTTCATATCCTGCTTTACAAACAAAAACTTGGGGGGCACCTGGGTGGCTCAGTCGGTTGGGTGTCCGACTTCGGTTCAGGCCATGATCTCACAGTTCGTGGGTTCAAGCTCCGCGTCAGGCCCTGTGCTGACAGCTTGGAGCCTGGAGCCTACTTCAGATTCTGTGTCTCCCTCTCTCTCTGCCCCTCTCTGCTTGTACTCTGTGTGTGTGTCTCTCTCTGTGTCAAAAATAAATAAACATTTATGGGGTGTCTGGGTGGCTCAGTCGGTTAAGTGTCCGACTTCGGCTCAGGTCATGATCTCACGGTCCATGAGTTCAAGCCCCGCGTCAGGCTCTGTGCTGACAGCTCGGAGCCTGGAGCCTGCTTCGGATTCTGTGTCTCCCTCTCTCTCTGCCCCTCTCCCATTCGCGCTCTGTCTCTCTCTGCCTTTCAAAAATGAATAAATGTTAAAATAAATAAATAAATAAATAAACATTAAAAAAAAATTTAAACAAAAACTTGAGGGGTGCCTGGGTGACTCAGTTGGTTAGGCGTCCGACTCTTGATTTCAGCTCAGGGCATGATCTCACAGTTCATGAGCTGAAGCCCTGCATCGGGCTTATGGCAACACAGAACCTGCTTGGGATTCTCTCTCTCCCTCTCTCTGCCCCTCCCCTACTTGCTCTCTCTCTCTGTCTCTGTCTCTCTTTCAAAAATAAATAAACATGAAAACAAACAAACAAACAACCAAACTTGGGGCACCTGGCTGGCTCAATGGGTGGAGCACGCAGCTCTTGATCTCAGGGTTGTGAGTTCAAGCCCCACATTGGGTGTAGAGATTACTTAACAAATAAAAATAAAATCTTAAAAAATAAAAAAATGAAAACAAAACCTTCACACTTTTAATAGCTATGACTCTACATCATTTTTCTTACCAGCCCTTGGCAATATGTCACTATGTAGCGGGACCATAGCTCACTTAGCCATTTTCCCCTTGTGGAATAGTTGGTGGACTGCAGGTTTTCACTCTCATACACTGTGTTGAGGGGCAGAGGCAGGATCATTGGGAGGCAGCCATGGGGAGTAGGTTTTGACTTAACATAAGGAACAACTTCCTCCTAGTCACTGGCATTCAGCCAAGGGGCTCCATCCTGAAGAAGTGAGCTCTCTGGCCTTGAGGTGGAAAGTCCTGGATCAGCATCTTGAGGATGTTAGGAACTCCTGCCTACGTGAGGGTCCTCAGAGACCCATGAGATCCCTCCCAGCTCTAACATGTTCCTTCCACAGAAGAGCAGTTGAAACCAGCTTTTATCCTCTCCACTACCCCGTCTAGAGAGCCTGCCAGAAATCCCCTCTTGGTGAGACCACCTGGATTTGAGACAGCGCCCTCCCCAGGTCCCTGCTGTGAAATGCAGGCACTTCCTGTGGCTGCCTCCTCACTGGCCGGCTTTCTCTCTTAGCCCCTCTAATCCATTCTCCCACCAGCAGGGGGATGTTTTCAAAGCGTAAATGGATCATTAAGGCATAGATACCCCACTTAAAATGTCTTCCTAGTTATTTGCTTAACTCCTGACCCTGCCTCCCTATTAGGCCTGTAGCTCCAAGAGGGCTGGAACCACTTCTGTCCTGACGTTGGTCTAGTCCGCGTTTAAGCTGGCACAGAGAAGGTGCTTAGTATACACGTGTTGAAAGGATGAATTAGGGAATGAAGGGGGGAAGGAATGGCTCTGAGCAATGTAGGTGTCAATGTCATCATCAGTGTCCATTATAAGTGACTTGGGCTATCACCTCTGCCTCTAGCCCCTGAGGCTGCCCTGGGGCAGGGCCCACTGTGTGCGGTTGGGCACCCCCAGAACTTCAAGTTGGGGCCCTGGCCCAGCTCACCTGCCCATCCTGGTCCCTCAGCACCAGCAGCACTGGCCCACTGTGGCCTTCCATCTGCCTGTAAAGGCTCCGCAGGCTGAAGCCATTTCTTGACGTACAGAAGGCCAGGCTCCAGGAATGTCCGGTGACTCTTGGGGGGAGGTGGAGGCTGAGCTAGAGACAGGGCTGGAGGTGAGTGATGGATCCACGTCCTGCCCCGCGCCTCCCACCATATCTCTGGTACTCCACTCACACGGGCATGGTGCTTTACAGGTTACAGAGGAGTTTACTGTTTCCAAGGGCTCATTACCAGCCTTCAGAGAGAGGGATTATTATTCCCATTTTACAGTTGAGGAAAATGAGGCTCAGGGAGGTGAAGCAAGTTGCCTAAAGCCCACGCAGGGAGTAAGTGGCAAAGCCAAGATTTGAACCAAGGTGAGGTCTCCCTCGGGGCCCTCTCCCTTTGGTCACCTTGGTCTCTAGAGGCTGGAGAATAGATGAGATGCTGAACCCCTCCCCCTAATCCACCCTACCTCATCCTTCCACTCCCATCCCAGCTTTGGGACATAGCGGGAGTGACCCCAGGTGTCCCTGGACCTGGCTGGGGTAGAGCAGGAGGGTGAGACCCTCAGGCTCCTTGCACTGTGCCCGAACCTGCCTCATCTCCGAGGTTCCTAGAACCTGGCTGGCTTCTGCCAGCTGGGGCTCCACAGGATCTTCAGGAACAGGAGCTGAGAATGGGGCCGGGGCTGTCTCCTCTTCCTCACCCTCCTCCACAGACAGAGCATCCTCCACCCGACTGGGCTGTGAAGACACAAAGAACCCTGGTGAGTCGAGGGACAAGGAGACACCAGCTTCCATGTATCCGGAGCCCGAGAGCTTCAGCTGCCTCATCACCCCTGCCCAGGGCTCTGCAACCGGCAGCCCAGCCAGAGAAGGCTGGTGCCCATGACAGACAAGTCTGCCCCTGCCCGTATCCGGCTTCTGCCCTGGCCCCTGCCTGCCGAAGGTCAGAGGTACGTGTGGCCATCCGATGTGCCCATGGGTGCTATGGTTTTCTGCATGCTCCAGATCCAGAGGATCAAGTTCTAAGCTCAGGGGCAGGAGAGAAGCGCTGGTGGCAGCCCAGCCTGGCCCTGGGAGCTACATCTGTGTGCGTCTGCACGTGGAATAATAATCCTAACACCACCAATACCGATAGTGGCTGATATTGATCAGCACACACTGGGTGAAGTGCTTTTGCTGTGCATGACCTCCCTGTATTTTTCCCAAGAATCCTAAGAAGAAGGTATTCCTTACTGCCCTTATTTTACAAAGAAAGAAAATAAGGGTCAGAGGCTTCCCTGTCAGCCGGGGAGACAATGCGTGTGGTAGGTGAGTAAGGGCGTGCGGGTTTGTGTAAGATGTGCGCTCGTCCGTGTGAATGGGTGCATTGGCTCCACATAGACCTGTGTGGGCAAAGCAGTGCGAGGAGATGTTGAGTAACCATGTGTGTTTACCTGTCAATGTGTTTGTGAGTCGGGATTGTATCAATATGTGTGTGTGTCAGTGTGGATGTGTGTGGGTTTATGCATTCATTCAGTTACGCTTCCACTCTGTACCGGAGTGGACGTTGGAGCGTGCGCGTGTATGTGGGTGTGTAAACGTGTGCGTGTGTAAACGTGTGCCTGCACACGGTGACTTGGGGGAATTTTTGTAAGAAGGAGAGGCCTCCCTGAGGATGAGAAATGACCAGGACGCTGCTTTGCTATTCCCCAGGTTCAGGCCTGGGGAGCAGGTCCTAGCTGGGTGGGGCTTCTGGACAGAGCTCCATCTGGCTGGAGACAGCCGTCTGTGCTCCTTAGGGTCTCCGGACCAGGGGGTGGGTATCAAGGCCCCTGGTTCCTGAGCTCTGAACTCCGGGCCAGCTGAGGAGGGGCTTGGGAGGGGGACACATCACACCTGCCTCCAGTGCTAGCCCAGATCCCATCCCGCCAGAGATCTGGCCTCCCGCACCTTTGCTGACCTAACCCCCCAGCCCAAGCCGGGCCCCTTACCAGCCGAGTGTAACGCCAGTGGAGACCTTTCATTCTCGTGTCCGAGCCCAGCCGCTGGCAGTAAGAGTCCTTAGCCGTCACAGGGGAGAAAGCACTGCTGGGAGAGGCCTAGAGGTGACAGGGAGAGGCCTGGGGCACACCCTGCTAGCTTCAGGCCACCCAGCTGCCCTTTGCTCCCTCTCACCTGTCACTCCCAGGATGAATTGTCGCTGGGTGGGTCCATGAGGTCAGCTACCCTCGGCATTCAAGGCCTCACTTGCAGTTTGTGACTAACACACATTAACCATACATGGTAAATTCTAGCTGTGATTCCCTTCCTCCTCCCTGCCCTTCTGGCAGCTTGGCCTAGGGATGATGGCCCTTTGGGCAGATGCTTGAGCTCCAGGCTGGGGGTCTGGAACTCCTGGTTCTCTTTCTGACCTTGGTTAAGTCCCTTGTACCCTTGGGCTTCGGTTGTCCCACATGAAACATGTTGGACCAGATTATCTCAGAGACCCTCACAATACTGACTGCCAGGTACTCTTAAAGCCAATGAGTATATCAGAACAGATGCTCGAAAGGAGCCAACCCTAAACCAGAAGAACAAATCTTGAAAAACAAAAAACAGGGGTGCCTAGGTGGCTCAGTTGGTTAAGTGTCCAACTTCTGCTTAGGTCGTGATCTCACGGTTCATGAGTTTGAGCCCTGCGTCGGGCTCTGTGCAGAGCCCGGAGCCTGCTTGGGATTCTGTGTCTTCCTCTCTCTGCCCCTCTCCCACTTGCACACTGTCTCTCTCTCCCTCTCTCTCAAAAATAAATAAACATTAAAAAAATTTTTTAAATAGATACATTTTTTAAAAATCTTCATTTTTCTAATTTAAAAAGACATGTTAATTATAGACATTTTGAGGAATCTAGAAAAGAATAAAGCAAAATACAAAAATATTCATAATTTCATCTCTCAGGGATACACTCTCTACCCTTAAGGTATTTTCCCCATCTTTTTCATTTATTTAATATACATATATGTACACACTTTCATAAATACATCATACCATGTATAACTTTATGAAGTGGCTTTTCCACTTAACAAATGAGAATTTTCCAATGACATTCAGTACCTCTTGAACACACGATTTTTAATGGTTACATATTATTTTATCATAGGATACATATCATTCATTCCTCAACTGTTGGACATTTTGTTTACTTCTCATTTTCTGTAATTATAAGCAAAACTGTAATGAAATTCCCTGTTCATAAATCTGATTATATCCTTTATGATAAATTTCAAAAGTTGACCGCTGAGTCAAAGGGCATGCACTGAGTTCTTGATAATGTTTCCAACAAGGCTTCCCAGTGCTTAAAGCCGACCCATCTCAAGGCATCTTTAGGGAAGCTCAGGGTAATGTATTTCTGATCATCAATCACAGATAAAGAAATTACCACTCAGAAAGGGAAGAGACTTAGCACAGCCACACAATAGTATAACATGGAGGTTACAAGTACAGGCTCTCGAGTCAGGGAGTTCAAATCCTGGTTTTGCCACTTACTTGCTATGTGACCCTGGGCAAGTTACTTAACATCTCTGTGCTTCGGTCTCCTGTGAAATACTAATATCCACCACACAGGGCTGTTGTAAGAGTAAATGAAGATAATGCCCGAGGAACTAGGATGCTGGGGCGTCTGGGTGGCTCAGTCGGTTAAGCGTCCAACTCTTGATCTCAGCTCGGGTCATGATCTCAGGGTCGTGAGATGAAGCCCCGTGTCGGGCTCCGTGCTGAACGTGGAGCCTGCTTGGGATTTTCTCTCTGCACCCCGCTCCCCCAAGAGCTAGGATGCTGAGCCCAGCCTCCATTACCAATTTGGTGAGATAAGCCACAGTGGCTGGTGTTTCATAGCACTGGGTAAATGACAGTGCTTATTGCCTTTCCCCCACACTGCCTCTGAGAAGTCCAGGGCTCAAATTCCAGACAAGTGGCCACTTAGGCTCCACCTGGGCTCCTCTGGGACAGATCGTCACTCCATCACTCAGTGTGTGGAAGAAGTCGCTCAGTGGGGAAGAAAACGGCAGGAACTGTGGAAGAGTGTACTCACGCGTGTTCAACCTCCACCAGCCTGTCCAGCCCGATGGTTTCCTTAGTGCATCTCCCAGACTCTCCCCAGACAGAGGGCCACTTCCAGAACCAACTCTTCCACTCGGAAGTCTGTCCGAAGCAGCTTTAGCTCGGCACCCTGGTCCCCCAGCGGTGGCTGGCACGTCTGCCCCAGTCGGGCTCGAGGCCCTCCTCCCCGGCTCTTATACCTCCCCAGAGGGTGGCAGGTCCTGGCCCTGTGCCCGCTCCCGTTCCAGTTGGGAAGCCTGGCAGTGATTATCGTCCATCAGAAACTCAAATCCCATAAACACACACAAACAAGACCTTGTCACCCTCTGGCCCCAGCTCTGCCCTCACCAGCCCAAAGAGAGGGAGGACAGTGAACTTCTTGGCTCGTAAACTCCTCTTACCACACCTATGCCTGAAGCCCACCACTAGGAACCTACCTTTATTGGGTACAGACGCTGTAAGAAAAGGCAATGCTGTGGGATTCTCCATCCACCACCCCATGTTGTAGGGTTCTGCCCTGATGCTCCCCGATCTCAGATAGGGCGGTGATTCTTTCCTCAGTGGCCTGTTGTGAAAGTAGGTGAGATCACGCGTGGGAAGCCCAGTGCTTGGCACACAGTAGGTGCTTTGTCCACGTGGGCTGCCTTTCTGTCCCTGGCTCACAGTAGGATTCAGTGAATGCTGTGTTGTTGAATCACAGAACCCCAAGGTGGAAGTGGCTTCAGCTGACCCCAGAACAAGCAGTCTCCAGCCAGGGCAGTATCCCCTGGAAAGTATGTCCACCAAGTGGTCTCCTGGCCTCTACTGGGTGGGTGAGCCCACTGGCTCAGGTGGCCCACTTCATTCTCACACAGCTGAAAGAGATCCCCTCTGCTGGGCCTTGTGGAGGGGACTTGAGTTCCTATCAGGTGTCCTGGGACAATGCCCCCTCCAGGAAGGGGGGGATGAAGAACAGACTTGTATTATGGGGAAAACAGGCAAGTGAAGGGGCCTGTTGCTACCTCAAACATGGCTGTTGCAATATGTGTTTAAACTATAAATGGTTCAGGGGTCACATGTCTGGCTCTCCCAACCTTATTTCCCCCATGCTCCATACCCGAACCATTGGGCACTGGGCACTTTGAGAAGCCAGTGAGATTCGCCTTGCTGTCCCATTCTTTGTCCTCATGTCCTGGAAAACCTAGCATGTGACCTGTCAGGAGCACCAGTTGCCAATAAGAGGCCCCTAAAAGCTTCTTGATGGGATTCTCGGTGCCAGAGTGGCAGACATCCCAGCCCTGCCTCCAAGCTTGCCTTTTCCTTTCTTTTCCAGACCACACGCCGCCTCTTTCAGAACTCCGATATCCTTGCCAGGGAACAATTTGAATGTCCAGGAAAAAGGGGGAAAGGTTAAGTGACCCTTGGAACATCCACTCTGTGGATTTTTTCTAAGTATTAAAAGTAATGTTTGTAAAGAGTTTGTAAGTGAGTGGGGAAATGCCTCTGCTATCCTGGGGAGCAGGAGAGGGGAGGAGCAGAAGAGAGGGGGACAGAGGATCCCAAGAGGGCTCTATGCTGATAGCTGCCAGCCCAATGCAGGGCTTGAACTAACGAACCGTGAGATCATGATCCTGTTAAGTGAAAAAAGGCAGGGAGGACGTGCCGCGTGGTTTCAGCGATGCGAAATACACCTGAGGACTTTAGGAGAAAAATAACCAGGGTCCCTTCTAGAAAACTCCCCATGTTCGCTGCACGGACTGGCTTCACTTTGAACCTCAGGTAGCTTCCTACGGTGGCCTGACACACCCCCTCGCGTGTCCTGGGAAATCTGATTTCTGTTCTCTGAGATCTAGGTCTGTGCCCTCCTTGGTCTCCTCACTCTCACCTGGCGACTTACTTCTCCACCGAGAAAACAGAAGCCAGCTGTCAGCCGTCCCCTCACCTTCCCGACAGAAGCCCCTGCATCTCATCCATCTCTTCCATCCTTCCCCCAGGACGACACAGAAAAGGCCCTCGCTCCGTTCAGAAGCCAGGCCCCTGTCACTGGATCCGTCTGTCTCCCCTTTTCCATCCCGGCTGCGTCCATCTCTCACTTGCCTGTTCTCTCTGCCTCTCTCTCTCTCTCTCCATCTCATGCGACAGTCCCTCCCCCACTGCTCCATCTCTCTTCCTTCTGCATTCTGCCTCCGTGTCCTGTTCACTCTTCAGTCCACTCCCCTGGGCTTCTGCCCCCACCACCCCTGCTCTTGGCGAGGTCCCCAGCAGCCTCTGAGTCGTGCTGTGCAGGGAGCACTCTTCTGCTCTCCTCTTCCTCCAGCTTCTCCGCCACTTGACAGTCTGGTCTAGTGTCTGGGCCTCCAGACAACACATTGCTGCACGTTCTCTCCTACCTCACTGGCTGCTCCCTCTCTGGCTTTTCCTTTTACCCATGTTCTAGACTAGCGATTCTTTTTTTTTTTTTAATGTTTTATTTACTTTTGAGAGAGAGAGTGCGGGCAGGAGAGGGGCAGAGAGAGAGGGGGACAGAGGATCCAAAAGACAGCACAGAGCCCCACAGAGGCTGGAATCCACAAACTGTGAGATCATGACCCAAGCCAAAGTTGGATGCTCAACCGACTGAGCCACCCAGGTGCCCCTAGAAACAGGAATTTTTAACTTCCTGCTTGTGAGCCAGTTTTTCTTCTCTCTATAGATGCTCTCCCAACATGACCTCACCTGGTCCCATGGGTTTAAATATTGTCCAAATGCTGATGACTCTTCATGACTCCAGACCAATTAGAGTGATCTGTTTAAAACACAAATTAGATTCTATCATGCCCCTGCTTAGAGTCTCCAATGAGACATGCCTTGGCTCTTCTCCAACTTTAACTTGTCCTTTACTGTCCATCACCCATCAAGTCTAGTCACATTGACCTTCTCACTTCCTTAAACATCTATCAAGCCTGTCCCTCTTCCAGAGTCTTTTCCCTGGCTGTTTCCTCTGTCTGAATTCTCTTACTCTGGCTCTTTGAACAACTCAGTGTAAAATGTATTTATGTATACACATATTTATTTAAATACACATGTTTATTTAATTTTGAGAGAGTGCAAGCAGGGGAGGGGCAGAAGAAAGGGGGACAGAGGATCCTAAGAGGGCTCCATGCTGATAGCTGCGAGCCCAATGCAGGGCCTGAACTAATGAACCATGAGCAGCCTAATTTTTAGGGCTTTAAATTTTTTTAAATTTTAATTTAATTTAATTAAAAAATTTTTAAAAATGTTTATTTACCTTTAAGAGAGACAGCACAAGCAGGAGAGGGGAGAGAGAGAGGGAGACACAGAATCTGTAGCAGGCTCCAGGCTCTGAGCTGTCAGCACAGAGCCCGACGTGGAGCTCAAACCCATGAACCATGAGATCATGACCTGAGCCGAAGTTGGACGCTTAACCAACTGAGCCACCCAGGCACCCCGAATTTAATTTAATTTTTAATTTAAGTTTTAGTTTTAGGGAGAAAAAGAGCATATGAGCAGGGGAGAGGGGCAGAGGGAGTGAGAGAGAGACAGAGAAGAGAGAGAGAGAGAGAGAGAATCCTAAGCAGGCTCCACACTCAGCATGGATCATGACCTGAGCCAAAAATCAAGAATTGGAAGCTCAACTGACTGAACCACCCAGAGGCCCAGAGCTTTTTTTTTTTCTAATAACTCAGTTTAAATGTCACCTCCTCAGCAAGGCCTCCCTGACTACACTATCTAAAGCAGTGACTTTTTTCTAATTTTCCCTCAGCCAGTGACTTGTTTCTTTAATAATTTGTATAATGAAAAAAAAAACCCTTTCGTTACAAAAAAAATCACCTCCTCTTTGATGCCTTCCAGGATTTAGTCTCCATTCAGTTTCATCAATTCAACAGCTTGAATGGGAGGAAATAAACTGATTTTTCTACTGGGTAACCAGCATCATTTCTTACAATCTGATATATAATTCTTATAATCATTTGATGCTTCATTCCGTCTCGAGTAGAGCTTTAGGCATCATACACTGTGTGTCCGAGCTGAATATCACCCATTAGGGTGGCACAACAGACTCTGAAGTCGGATGGCCCTGGGTTCCAGTCAGTCTCAGCTCTGCCACTTCCAAGCTATGTGACCTTGGACAAGCATTCCAGTTATCCATGGCCGCGTAACAAACTACCCCAAAACCCAGTGGCTTAAAACAACAATATTTATTTTGCAGTTTGGGACTGCTCATTTCTGCTCTACTTGGCGTTGGCTGGGACAGCTCCAAGGCTGGGGGCTGGATCATCTGAAGGTTCACTCTCTCCCATGTCTGGTGGCTAGCAGGGACCTGAGCTGGAGTTGCTGGCTGGAACACCTTCATTAACCTCTCCACGAGGCCTGGGCCTCCTCCCAATGTGGTAGCTGGGTTCTGAGGTGAGTGGACTGAGAGAGAGAGGGCAAGCACGAGGGCATGAGAGAGCGCCAAACTGTCTTTTAGGAGCCAGCCTTGGAAGTCCCGGTATCACGTTTGCCATTCTCTATTGGTTGAGGAGGTCACAAAGGCCTACTCAGGTTAAAGGGGAGGGAATATAGATCCCGTGGCTCAACTGTAAAAGTGTCAATGCCGCACTTAAAAGGAGGGATTGGATGGGCTGCGTATTGCTGTGCCTATTTTTGGAAAATGCAATCAGCCACCAGAAGCTCCTAGCCTTTCTGAGATCCTCTACTGAAGTGCTGAGCTCGGAGCCCGGCATAAGTGAGTGCCCGACGGCCAGGAAGCTGTAGACAGACAGTCTCCCTGCCGGCATGTCACCAATTCTGGACTCCCAGCAAGTCCAGGTTTTTCTGGTCTGAACTAAGTCTGAGTCCAGAGCCCCTTCCTAGGCCCCACACCACCTCTGGAGCCCTCCCCACCAGGGCCATGTTGCTGGGGCTACACTGTAGATTCATGGTTCCTCAAATCCAAATAACTTCGGAGCAGGGAGGGCCCTCAGCCTGCTTCTCAGCCGTCAGGGACCCAAGCAGGATATGTGGTAGAGCCAGGACTTGGGCCCAGGTCCAAGTGGGAAGATCCAGGCCACTCTAATCTCAGGACCACCAGTGTGGCCACAGGTGTGTCAGGAGTGGCCAAGCCGGCCTGGGTCTAGCATGTCACCTGCCTGCATTCACACCATCCAACATCTCCAGACCTACATAAGGCATAGAGGAGAAACGGAAACACAGAGAAGATAAACCATCTCTAAGAACTCTATAGCATCTCTGTGCCAGAAAATGACCAGCTTACAAGAAATGGAGGCATCAGAGCTGAAAGGACCCTCACACTAGACCAGGTGGGGACTCTGAGGCCCAGGAGGTGGGAAGGCTTTGCCCCTGTGCCACACAATACCACCTAGGGGTATTTTATGTAATGAATCCATTGTGGCCCATCTCCCCCCCATACTCTAAGCTCCATGAGGTCAGGAATGTACCAAGGACAAGTCCACTCATTGTCCTATCTGGTGCCTATGGACTAGGTGAGTGGACGGTCAGTGGGAACAGGGGAGCTGTGCCTTGTCAGGAGGGGGTGGGAATACTTTGCAGAGAACTTGCTAGGTGGCCCTGCTCCATGTGTCTCTGTGGAGCCACTTGGAGGAAAAATCTGAGGGCAGAGGGGGCACACACACACACACACACACACACCAGGACATACGTAGATCAGGGCGAAGCCATGCCTCAGGTGAGAAGGCATACCCCAGTACTCACTGCTGTGAGGGAGGTGGGATAGAAGCGAAGAAGCAGACCTGGTGCCGCCTGAGTGTCAAGGGCAGGGGAGGTGAAGAAACAGGATTGGGGGA